TATATATATATATATATATATATATCCATCTGTATCCATGTGTACACCACATATTTATACACAAAATCTTACACACAAAAAAAAACATTCTAATCTTCAAAAAACAACAAACCAAACTAACAAACAAACACACAAACCCTCTCACCTTCTTATACATGAGCGAACAACAGGCAATCCTCATCCTCATGCCGATCTGATGTACACATTGTTTTAAACTTCCAAACACAAACAAAACAAACATCCACACAAAAAACAAACAAAAAAAAAAAACAACAAACAAACACACACCCTCTCACCTTCTTATACATCAACGAGCAACAGGCGATCCTCATCCTCATGCCGATCCGTTGCACACAGAAGAAGTAAGGGTGGTGAGCCACGGCCAACATCACGGCACACAGGGACACGCCCATCGCGTACAGCCACGCCTCCTTCCGCTCCATGTTGGAGTCTGGTGTGAAGTAGCGGATCAGACCACCCAGGAGCAGGGGCTGGACCACCTTTGTGCCTTCCTGGGGATGTATGGAGAAATTGGATATTTTTTATGTTTTATTTTAAAATTATTTTTTAATTTTTTAGTTTATTTGTTGTTATTGGGCTTTTTCTTGCTTTATCTTGTTATCGTTTTTGTTACGGGGGTATTTTTTGTTTTAGCACGAGTGTTACGGCACTTGTAACACAAATAGGTCATAACAGTAGCGCCTCCATGTTGGAGTCTGGTGTGAAGTAGCGGATCAGACCACCCAGGAGCAGGGGCTGGACCACCTTGGTGCCTTCCTGGGAACGTGTCCAGAAAGATGGGGGTTAGTGGGAGTGGGGCGTGGGTGGGTGGTTTGAGTTTGAGTAAGTGGTAGGGTAGGTAGAAGATTAGTCTAGTTTTGCAACATAATTAGGTCATAAAAGTACCGATTTTCTGTTTTTTTAAGGGGGAGTTGGGGGGTTCGTCCGTTTTTATTGGGTTGTTGTTGTTTGGGGGGGGGGGGGTTAAGTTTTATTTTGGGAGTTTTTTTTGGTTTTTTTAGGGAAGGGGGGTAGTTAAATTTGTGGGGGTTTTACGGCACGGGTTTTACGGCACTTACAACAGATATAGGTAATAAAAGCAATTTTCGTTTGGTTGTGTTGTGGGTTTTTTAATCGGGTTTTGGTTTGTTTGGGTATTATTTTCCTTTTTTTTAAAGTATTTATCTATGTTGTGGGATGCTTTGTTTTGTTATGGGGTTTTTTGTTGATTTTTGTTGGGGGGGTTTTTGTTTGTTTGTTGTTGTTGTTTTTTGGGGGTAGTGCGAGTGTTCGGCGCTTGTAACACAAACAGGTCATAACAGTACCGACTTTTGAGTGTGTGTGTGGGGGGAGGGGTGTAGAAGTCGTGTCTTCTGTGTTCGACAGCTAAAGCGTGCAATCGCTCCACCAGAGACGATAGGATCGAACAAAGTTGTCAGACATCCTTTTAAAAAAGCCCAAGAGCCAAGAACGCCCAATTGGGATTCGAACGAGAGTTATCCACGACATAGCCAAGCATCACAGGGCCCAAATAAAGAAATGTTTGGGGGCTCTCGTGGCCAAGAGGTTAACGTGTTGGCCTCTCATTCAAAGGTCCCGGGTTCGAATCCAGGTAGCGACCGACAAATTTGCTTCTCTAAAATTGTCTCCTTTCACCTCTTTTCCTGCTCTCTTGCAATGTTCTGTCGTCTGCTTTCGTCTCCTCTTTCTGCCCCCACCCCCTCACCTCCTTTGCCCCCTCCTCTGGGCTCCTGACTCTTTCTGCAGCCTTTCTACCGCTACTACATGGCTCCTTCTTACAGCTGTCTTTCAGCCACACCCCAGATCTTCTGGTAGGAAAAATCTACACCTAGCCTTCTCGGACAAGGGCGAAAAATCCCGGAGGACCCGTGTGCAAGTTGCGCACGTTAAAGATCCCTTGGTGGTCTAAAATCGATCAGAGTAGGCTTCGGCCGCCACCCGGGCAAAATTCAAAATTTCCTACCAACTGAAAATATGACCTTATGCAGTTGCGAGCGCCGTAAAAACACTTACCAAAACAAACAAAACAAACCAAGAAATGTTTCTATAACAGAATCAAATCTTTGGACGTTGGCCCTAGGAGTGCCATGTCCAGTGACCCGGGCATAGGTTGATTAATAAATGAGCTAGATGTCCTTTATAAATTTTTTTAAATGATTAAAAACCGCCAACAGAAGAAAGTGGAAAAATTACAAATTACCGACGCCACTTGTATCAGTAAGTGACACCACTTGAGGTAAAAGCGGGCAACAGTGATCTCCACCCCTCCCCCCTCTCCCTGACTCCACAAGACCAGGGTATCGTCGTATCGAGATAACAATATTGCTACAGGTATCATCCTTCCTCTCTCCCCCCCCCTCCCCCACATGGTGGAGGAGGGGGAGGGGAGGGAGAGGCCTCTTTCCTGATATGAGACAACAAATCGCCCTTTTTGCACTTCAAACGCGACATCAGGATAGTCTGAGCAAGTGAAAAGGCCAAAAGTCCAAACAAAGCCACCAAACCACCACCACCCCACCCCCTATTTCCCCTCTCCCCCCTCTCCGTTACCCCCTACCTTTGCTCGATATTTTTTCACCATCACATATCTCACAGAGCGCACACACAGACAGAATTATGGCTCCATGCCAGAGCGCCATTTTTCCGTTTGGGAAATTTCCAATTATCAGGCGCTCAAAAGGGAGCTGTTCCTATTTGAACTAAAAGAAGTAGAATAAAAACTATGTATTAAAATATGTTACTGAACACTAGGTGTGATCATTTTCAACTTTAGATGGACGCAAAAAAATACACTTACCAGGAGAAAGGTACCCTTTGGTGCCGTTGAAAAAAATATTGCTCCAAAAGACAAATCAGGACTGTCATTATTATTTTTTTAGTTTTGTTTTAGTAAGAGTTTTAGGGCACCAGCAGCACACTAAGGTCATATAAGTGCCGAAGATTAGATGTGTTATAAGAGAGTAAAACAAAAGTAAAGTTGTTCCCGCATCCGATCCGGACGTTGGGGATTGCCTTGTTAGTGTTAGTGAGACAACTTCTTGGGCCTTCGGCATATTACAGTAGGCTGGCCAGTTCCTTTCCACACCGCCTTTACTTCCCCAACTCGAAGCCAGGTACCCATTACTGCTGGGTGGGCAGTAGGGGGCGAAAAAAATCCGTGTCCGAACCGAGGCTCGAACCCAGACTTTCCGCTTCGGAGACGAGCGCACTAACCGCTCCGCCACCGCACCCTCTTATAAGAGAATACGGTACACAAAAAAAGGAGAGATAAGGACGACAGATGTAAGCGCAAACCACACCAGAGCACTCGCCAAACACCCACTGTCATATCATTTAACATCTCAAGGCTCAAAATAAATGGAATCAAAACGTGATTCACAAAAATCTACGCTGTTTTTTTGCTGAATGAGTTACGTGGTAGTATCACCTCTAACCTTCCGGCACTCATATGACCTATTTGTGCAGCAAGCGCCGTAAAAACTCTCACTGAAAACGAAACGACCACGACCTTGACCCGGCGACATTGACCTTGATGAGCTGTCAGGCAGCCGTCGAAGCACGTCAAAGATAGCGCTGTGTGTACCCAGTAAGTCAAGGATGCTTGCTATCAGACGCCTCTCGATGTTATCAGCGACACCTAGATACTGTCTTGTTTCACCACTCTTAAAAGTGCGACTACAAATCCACCTCCACCCCCACCCTCCAACACTACCCCTA